CCCCCCCCCCAACAATTCCCCTCCATTTTCAACACAAACGAAATAGTAAATTCAGTTTTTTCGCAACGCTAAGTCAAACAAACTCGGCGGGTGATACTAGCACGGTCGGTGATACTAGCACGGTCGATATACCACAGACAATTCGTTGACGAGCTTACGTCCTTTTTTCTTCTTCTTGTCTTTCACTGGTGGTGGTGGTAATAATCTCTCTTTCACTTTCTGGACTCCCCTGACTAACCTTGGCGGCCGCTCAAACTGGTCCAGCCTCGCAACTGGGAATTCGATAACTGCTTCATCCTCTTTGATGGCTTGGAGGGAATTGTAGGTAGCTGGGAATTTTTGGAAATCCATGGATTCATCCTCCTCCATATGATCATCCTCCTCCTCCATATGACCATTCTCCTTGTGATCATTATCCTTGATACCAGAAAACAGTAATTGAGCTGCTTCGCGATCCTTTAATCCTTCTTGTAGCGGCTCACTAAACATCTCCAATGTCCCCTTAATAGAATCCAAATCATGACTCCCCAAACGTTCATTGTTATCCAGTCTTAATAGGCGCCTCATAATGTCATATACCATTACCACTACACTCGCCTGAAGCTTTGGACTGTCTATTAGTAATCTCGTAAACTCTATCATTTGGCGAGTGGCTCGCTTCAAATCTTTCGATCCATCGTCGTCACCGCAAGATGGATACACCACATCCCCTATTATCATTAGTTCGTCAGGAAACGTTTCCATCATATTCTGCAATCCCCACGACACTAGATGCAGAGCGAGATTCCACTTTGCCGGATTCTTGTACAACATGCTATCCATCGTCCTCTCCACACGAACTATGTCAAACGGATATCCGTTGTAGAAGACAGGAATAACAATCCGACTTAACTCCACAACTGCAGGAAACGAACCGGAATGCGACGCCGGTAGACACCTCATGATGTTGTTGAAATATCGCCGCTGAAAAAAAAACTCGACCAAACGCACTCATGTAAGGTTACACTCCCACGAGGTTGCACTCCCACGAGGTTGCAGTCATTCGTTTTGAGAAGAGGGCGCGTGACTGACTGAAGGCTGGTCCACAACAAGGATGGCTTGAAGGATGATGATTATGAGCGTTAGGGGACTGAAGCTTGAAGGTGAGTCCAGCTGAACCCCAACAGAAAAGATAAAAACTTACTTGGCGCTATCTTTGCTGCGTGGCCGTTGGGTCGCCAGGAAAAAGCTTTCTCAGGCACGTGACTGAGTAGCTTGGCTTCAGCAACCACGTAAGCATAATGCTTACGTGGCATAATGCTTACGTAGCATAATGCTTACGTGGCATAAT